ATTATGTCGAGTCTCGAACACGTTCGAATTTATTATTACTAATATTATTAAAGAAATTCAGTACTTTTGGTTTGCTGCTATTTAGATTAAATGCTGGACAATTAAGCTGCCCCGTCAAAGAACTAGGTTCACCATTTGCATGGTCCGGAGACACCAGATGAGAGAGACAAGGGAGAGCGCCGAGCAGCAGTAGCTCAGCAGCCGACAACCGTAATTGACAGCCCTAAAAAGGGCCATTTGTCAGAGGTAAACAAAATAAAAACGGGAAAAGACCGCGAAAATGGCGGAAGCTATTCTTACTTCCAGATGAAAATATGTGGAGTGCGTCAGGGGCAGGCACTGGAAGGCAACACCGTAGTCCTACGGTTCTACCTCAACGTGACCTCCTAGCTGCCAGGTGTAACGTCCAAGCCTCGCCTCGTATTCGGAAAACGCCGCAGCTCTCATTTCGTCCGTAATGAGCAGAAACGCAGCCTCAATGCGTTGTCGAGGGTGGAGATTCGGCCCGTGTAGACCTGTGACTTAATGAACCCCCATACAAAATAATCACAGATTGTTAGGTCAGGAGATCGCGGTAACCATGGCACGCTGGGCGAGCCTATTCCCATCCAGCGTCCAGGAAAGGTGTCACTTAACCATCTCCTAACGGAGGTTCACCAGTGTGGGGGCGCTCCATCTTGCATAAATACGCAAACTTGTCGTTGCATGCGAAGGGCCTCGAGCTCGGGAAGAAACTCCTCCTTCAACATGTGCAGATAACTTCTGCCCGTCACAGACTCATTGAAAAAATAAAGGGCATAACAACACCCTTCCTCCAGATCCCGCACCAGATAGTTACCTTGGGAGAGTACTGAGACTTTTCCATTCTCCAGTGCGGGTTGCCGTTGCTCCAGTACCGGCAGTTCTGAGCGTTGACTTTTCCGTTGAAGTGAAGGACGGCCTCGTCCGAGAACAGAAGGAAGTCCAAATGGGAGGGGTTGGCCGCGATCCTTAGGATCTCTTCGCGGCAAAAATCGAGCCGTCTTTCATAGCCTTCAGGAGAACGTGAGCCTTGTAGGCATGCAGGTTGTGTCGGCGAAGAATCCGGCGCACAGTGTAATCTGAAACTCCAAACAGACTCGCCGCTCTCTTCGAGGACAGATGCGGGTCCGCTTCGAAAGCACCCATGATCCCGTACGCGAGCTGCTCTCTCTCTGGCGTGCTGGCAAAGACGTGCTTCTTGTTCGCGACGCTGCCCACTGCGCCAAAACGCTGGGCCCACTTCCAGGTGGTTCTCTTTGACGGCGGCCTGGAACGCCGCACTCGACGGTGTCGGCGGCGAGTATCCTTAAAGCTTCTGCGCTTTAAATACCAAACCACGACGTCCGCGCGTTGATTCTGGATTAATTGCCTCATCAGGCAGGAAAGTGCAGCGAAACACGGTAGAGATTAAAAGTAATCAACGGGAGAACCGGCGTTCGAGTCTGCGAAGAACAAAGCAGACGACATCTGCTAAAATAATTAGCATGAAGAAATGTTATGCCTGAGCAAATGCACCGAAGTATCACAAATTAGAGCGTGTAATCTTTATTCACGTTGCAGTGAAAAGCAGTGCGCAAGTGAAACTTCAGAAATGATAGCGGACAATTCCGAATTAGCCTCCAAGCCCGGCAGATACCGGTGATAACCCGCCAACCCGCGTAGGTGGTGGCGCCACCTATGCGATGCAACGCAAAGCACACGGTCTCCGTCTGCGTCTGTCCGTGGTCGGAGACTCCCCGTAGAGATTTCTCGTTTTTTTTTCTTTTATCTTTTGATCCAGGTAAGCTCATGTTCTGAAACTTTGGCATCTTGCTTGGACCGCTAGGGTAACATTCTGGCGGAGTTTGAGCGTTCTGCGATGCGTAGTTTTTTTACGCGGGCCGAAAAGTAGGGTTTACTTTTCTCGATCAGACCCTGTACTTCAGTGCCCCTTTAAGACGAGTGCGTGTCAACTGCAGCGCGTCACTGGATGCGTCTGAGAAGACTCTTTTTCTTTTGCGTAAGAGGGAAAGCGGTCGTAACGAGCAAACGAACGAAGTGAAAGAGCGCGGCGGGAGCTGCGGATTTAAGAGCGCCGCGGCCTCACAAAACTAGTGCTGTCTAGTCCAGTCCAAACCAAAGACAGCTGCACGCTCCGAAACAGTAAATACCAACGCAAAACAAGAAAACGCATATACACCCCAATTGAAATGAAACCGTCGAGCTACGTTCGAACGGCGCTATAAAATCGGCAGTTTCGACACAAAATAAATGGGGTCGCCATACGACTTTCAGATCTCACTGCGAAGTGCGCATCTACACGTTGGTTGCCCCAGTTTATTTTTGAAACACGACAAAGCAGCTGCACTTTCAGAATGAGTGCAGGTGACATAGATACATGTACCTCACTTACCTGATTTGCAAGGCAGTCGAGCCTGGGAAGGCGGAGGAAACGAGTATTCGGCAGAATAAAATTTCAATGTCCTCAGAGGAAGACAACGACAACGTTCTCGCTTCTCAAAATCAATACAATATTTTGTTTAAATATTATAGCTGTTTAGGCGACAAACTCCAAGAATCTTTCGCTCAGCCTTTAAAGGGGCACTACAGAAGATTTTTTGGTCGTCTGTTCTTGCTCATAACTGGTTCTAAGCACCCTAAATATGCAAGAATTACAATCAGGCGACGCCGATTTCTCTACTAAACACGTGACCAAATGTCGGGACTCACCTCTTTCTGGGCAGGGTTTTCCGCTCAGGAAAGGCGGGGCGTACCCTAGGAGCGGTGTTAACACGGTGATGGTGGGCGTGGGCCCGAGCGGAAATTACAACCAAACCAAATAATTTTTGAATATTTAAGATGTTAGGGCCCGTAGAATCAGTTATGACCAAGGACAGTCGATCATAGAATCCTCTTTCAGGCCGGTTCTCACATGCAGCGAAGCGCTGATGTAGCGCTACTCACGTGTCGTCAGCTACTTATAGATTGCCCTGAACAGCAGTCATGACGGTGTGATACGAAGCTGGTAAACGCTCCCGTCAGCACGCGCTTAGCGCAATGTCCGCGCTATGCTTGGAGCGCTCCGCTGCATGTGTGAACAGGCCTTTAGTGTCCCTTCAAGGCTGTCACCCTGTACAAAGCCCATTTTTTGGGGGGCGCGATTATAGGCGATTCCACACTGGGCTCAGACAGCTCCGATGACAACGGGCTGAACAACGCTGAAACTGTCGACACCGGCTGGATAACGCCAAATAAGAAACAACGTCACACCTCCGGAAGCTCGGTTTCGGGTTAGTCCATAAAAATGCACATCATCAAAGTCTAACAGTTATCGTTAAGCCTCAAGATTCAACCAAATCCTTCACAAAAAAAAAAAGAAAGAAAAACGGTATTTTTCGGTTTTATTTGAAAAGCTTGTTATTGTCGCACGAACCTCATGACGTTGCTCAAATTCGACCAAATTGCAGACTTGTGGCGGCACGTGCCCTTTTGCCAAAACAACATTCGCCGAAGGTGCTGCAGGCCTCGGGGATCGACAAGTTGAAGACAAGAAAAAGGAGGGACCCGAGCTTGGTAGATGCGCGAGGATCGAAGGAACAGGCAGAAGTCGCGAGACATCACCTTCAATCCCTGCTGACCGACGGACGTCCAGGTTCTTTGTCCAGTTAGATTGGTTTGGTTTTAAGTAAATGATTTAGTAACGCTCTTGCTTGTCTGGGTTATTACCCATCCAGCACGCGAGCCCAATAGGAACGCAACAGTGGTGACCCGGTAAAGAACTTCAACGCAACCAACCGAACCAGCCACCATGACGGACAACGATGCGACGAGCTCCACTGGGGGCTATTCGACGGTCAGGTTGAAGTTGCCTCCCTTCTGGCCAGCTGATCTGCAGCTCTGGTTTGTGCAGGTTGAGTCACAGTTTTTGACTCGGTGCATCACAACAAACATGACAAAGTACCACCATGTCGTGTCAAGCCTACCACCTGCCATTGCCACAGAGATGCGGGACTTGCTTATTTCACCGCCAGAAGAGGATGCTGTCACGATTGTGAAGGAAAAAGAAGAATTAGGGAAGGGCGAGCGGCCTACAGGCAAGCCGAAGGGAAGGAAGAAGAGGATATAAGAAGCAAAGGGTGTACTTGGAGAAGGACGTCCTTGGCTCTGCTCCGAGGCGAGGCCACCAGCCACTGGCTACGCTCCAGTGTAGCGAAGCAACCTCACCGACCTCCAAGACTCCTACCTAGCGACATCGCACCCCAGAGACGGCCACGAGAAGCAGCTGGCCCGGCTTCAGCATTTCAAGGTCGTGAGTGACGATCAACATTCAGGGGACTGGGTCACGGGGACCGATAGGGTTTGACTTTTGGGATTTACTTTATTGTACATAACAGTAGTGTTCTTTACGTTGTAAATATATGTTTTATTATTCTACTTGCTCGACCTCTGCCTCCACTGATTCCGTGTACCGTTCTGGTCGAACGCGACAGTTTGGCGAGCCTGCCAGGATGCCCTTAATTTGATCACGCCGGCCGGAACGTGCACGAATTGGTGGAGTCGAGTGAGGCAGTATGGATAGCGAACGATTATTGGCGGTAGGGAAAGAGTTAGGCTACCAAGGAGACGAGTTGAGGAAATGGATAGAAGACGAAAAGGCTAGCGCAAGGGAGGAAAGAGCGATGGCTAGACAGGAACGAGAGTTAGAATGCGCTAAACTAGAGAAAGAGCGGGAAATTTTGCAACTTCGGTTAGCGGTACAGGAAGCCGCAGGGACCTCCTCTGAGAGAAGTAGGGACAATGGAGAAGGAGGGACGAACGGACAGAGACATCACTTCAGTCCGCACAAGCTGATTCCCCAATTTAACGATGCTCGGGATGACCTGGATGCATATCTTCAGCGGTTCGAACGTACGGCGACGGGACTTGATTGGCCGCAGCAAAAATGGGCCACAACGTTAAGTCTGTGCTTGACCGGCGAAGCACTTACAGTAGTTGGCCGTATGTCCCCAGCGGATGCATTGGATTATTCGAAAGTGAAACTGGCACTCATGCAGAGATTCCGATACACGAAAGAGGGCTACCGGGAAAGATTTCGAGAAGCAAAACCCGATGACAGGGAAACGAGAAAGCAGTTTGCCGCCCGACTAGCAGGGTATTTCGACCGATGGATAGAGATTGCAGGCGTGGAACGAACGTTCGAGGCCCTCCGGGACAAAGTACTCGTTGAACAGTTTCTACAGAGTTGTTCTAGTCGCTTGTCGGTGTTCCTTAGGGAACGAGACTGCCACACACTAGAGGAGGTAGCTTCCAAGGCCGATTTATATCTGGAGGCCCAGATACCAACAGGAGCAATCAAGCCGAAGGTGGAAGAGCTGGCTAAGAAGTCGAGCACCGAAGACACAGAGAGAGCGGCGAGGGGTGGAAGTAGAAAGACCATCCGGTGCTTTCTCTGCAACAAGGTCGGCCATAAGGCAGAAAACTGCCGCAGCCGTCCGTCCACGTCCAAGACTTTGACTTGTTGGAGCTGTGGCCGCACAGGGCACCGGGCGAACACTTGCGGGTCGACACTAGACAACCGACCTCAGGCGTCCTGTGTATGGACGGTGCCAAGCCACACGAGGTGTACCGAGGCAGATGAATCTTACGTGACACTTCAGGACGGCGCCAAGATTCCAGTGGTGAACGCTGCTGTTGGACGAGCTCCAAAATTTCTGGTTGAAAACATGCCTGTGGTGGAGGGACGTCTCGGTGACCGCAAAATAACGGTTTTGAGAGACACCGGTTGTAACACGGTCGTCGTTCGAAAGGAGATGATTCCCCCCGAGTCGTTCACAGGAACGTTGAGTCCGGTGTTCCTTTTGGACAGAACCGTAAGGTATGTTCCGGAAGCGGAGATTCTGGTAAGGACCCCATACTTTACGGGAAAAGTAATGGCGAAATGCCTGAGCAACCCGTTGTACGACTTAGTGCTCGGGAACGTGCCCATGGTGCGAGGCGTGAACGACCCCGACCCAAATTGGAATCAGGTTGAAGAGATGAGACCAGCTAGGAGGTTGGTAGCGCAGACGTCGACAGGAGAAAGAGAGGAGGACAGCCGGGAAGGTATTGTCGAAAAACTTCAAGAGGGTTCTTCAGAACCATTGCAAACGGCCGCACCAAGCTTCGAGCCGCGCAGTAACGAGCCTATGCTCACTGCGAACACGATAGAGACGGGAAGAAATAAAGATCTACCAAGACAACCGAAAACCGGGCTGATAGTACCGCAGGTTTCACCACTAGAGGCAACAGCGGAAGAGATGCTCACGGAGCAGAGAAATGACGAAAGCCTCAAGAAATGTTTCCGTAACATCGGCAAGGTGACTACTAAGCACGGAGGAAGAACGACGCTGAAGTTTTTCTTAAGGAACAATTTGCTTTACAGGAGTTGTACCTTCAGCTCGGGAAGGAAAACAAAACAGCTGGTTCTCCCCGAGAAGTTCAGAAGAACTGTCGTCACCATGGCCCATGATGGCATAATGTCGGGTCACCAGGGAATTAACAATACGATAGGCCTGGTCGCGGAAGAATTCTTCTGGCCAGGAATGCAAAGCGAGATTCGCCGATATGTGCGGTCATGCGACGTGTGCCAGCGGACCGTACCCAAAGGAAGAGTGGGCAAAGCGCCCTTGGGCACAATGCCAACCATAGCGACGCCTTTCCAAAGGGTAGCCATCGATATCATTGGCCCTATTACTCCCAAGTCAGATTCGGGAGAGCGATACATACTGACCATGGTAGATGTAGCCACTAGATACCCGGACGCTGTGGCTTTGCGCACAATCGGGACCCCTGAAGTGGCAGAAGCCCTAATGGACATGTTTACGCGGTACGGCGTACCGGAAGAAATTCTCAGCGATCGAGGATCCAATTTTACATCGGATCTTATGAAGGAGGTGAGCCGTTTGTTGTCGATGAGGCACCTCCTAACGACCCCTTACCATCCTATGTGCAACGGCCTGGTTGAAAGGTTCAACGGCACCATTAAGCAGATGCTCAGGCGAATGTGCCAAGAGAGACCTCGAGATTGGGACAGGTACTTACCAGCACTACTTTTTGCCTACCGAGAGGTGCCCCAATCTAGCTCAAGATTTTCTCCATTTGAGCTATTGTATGGAAGGAGGGTACGAGGACCATTGACCATCTTAAGAGAAGTATGGTCCAATGAGGCAATGACTCAAGAAATGAAGACCTCTTACGGATACGTCCTGGAGTAAAGAAATAAGCTCGAGGAGACGTGCGAAATGGCCCACCGCTGTCTCGAGGGTGCTAAAGAAAGGTACAAGGGCCATTACGACCAGAAGAGTGTGAAGCGAGAAATGAAAGCAGGAGACAAGGCCTTAATACTCCTCCCAAGTGACAACAACAAAATGCTAATGCAGTGGAAGGGTCCACTCGAGGTCACTGCCAGAAGAAACGAGGTAGATTACGAGTTGGATATAGGAGGTAAGAGAAAAGTGTTCCATGTGAACATGTTGAAGAAGTATGAAGAAAGAGAAGAGCACGAACAAGTCGCCCTAAGGTGCGGGTTGGCAGTAGAAGTCAACGGTGACGATGACATCAATGACGATGGAGACGGGGACGATGTCCCAACGCTGTCTCTAAAGAAACAGCAAAATGAGCAAGATGTAGTCACTGAGGCAACTTTGGACACGGAGAAACGACGCCAAGTGTTGGACTTGATGGCTGACTACAGAGAGGTCTTCTCAGATCTACCAGGCAAGACTAACATGACCAAGTGCGACCTCAAGTTGACCACCCAAACACCAATACACATAAAACAGTACCCATTGCCGTTAAAAGTACATGAGGTGGTGGAGGAAGAGATAACGGAGATGTTGCGAATGGGCGTTATAGAGAGATCGAATTCGCCGTATAACGCACCTATGGTGATGGTGAAAAAATCGGACGGTTCGAACCGGTTTTGCATAGATTTCAGGCGACTGAATCAAGTACTGGTGTCCGATGCAGAACCCATACCAAGGGTAGACGTCACTTTTGCGAAGGTGGGACGCAAAAAGTTCTTTTCTAAACTTGATTTAGTCAGAGGGTATTGGCAGATCCCCATGGATGAAGCGTCTAAAGAAAAGACAGCATTTTCATCATCGAGTGGGCTGTATCAATTTAGGTTCATGCCCTTCGGCCTGAAAACCGCAGCAGCAACTTTCACGAAGTTGATGCGGAAGCTGCTAGAGGGTATACCGGACGCATACCACTATATTGACGACGTGCTGGTGGCGACAGACTCGTGGCAAGAACACATCGACACACTGAGAGAAGTTCTGAGCAGGTTGCGCTCTGCCGGTCTAACGATAAAACCAAAAAAGTGTGAAATTGGATTTCACCAGATAAGCTTTTTGGGACATCGGATAGGATTAGGATTAATTGCTCCGAAACAAGAGATCCTGACGAGAATACAGGACTCACCGAGACCGACTACGAAACGACAAGTAAGATCATTTCTCGGACTGACGGGATTTTACAGGGAGTTTATACCCAACTACGCAGGGCTCGCAGCTCCCCTGACAGACCTGACAAAGAAGGGGGCACGAAATGACGTGGAGTGGGAAGAGGAACATGAAGCAGTGTTCTCTCACTTGAAGCAGTTGCTAGCTGAGCCACCCATCCTTATGGCTCCGGATTTGGGAAAAGAATTTACATTGCGGACTGACGCTTCAGACACAAGCTTGGGAGCGGTGCTCCTACAGGAGAAAGACGGGGCGCTACATCCAGTTGCTTACGCCAGCCGAAAACTTAGTAGGGCGGAGAAGAAGTTCGCAACAATAGAAAGGGAATGTTTAGCACTGGTTTGGGCAGTGGGAAGATTTACGATTTATCTGTACGGTAGAAACTTTCGGGTTCAGACAGATCATCAACCACTAGAGTTCATTAATAAGGCAAAATACACGAACAGCCGTATCATGAGGTGGAGCATGAAGCTACAAGATTACAGCTTCCACGTGGAGTACATCAAAGGGAAAGATAATGTGGGCGCTGATTTCTTGAGTCGGATTTAGACGAGGGAGCAGAGTTAGATGATAATCACGGAGGAGTGTGTCCTAGTATGTTTTGGATTAACTTTTTGTCTGCTGGGGGACGATTCAACGTAAATTAAGGGACTGAGGATTGAAGAGTCCACAATCCTATATTTTGTTGTGAATAGGGTAATTGCAGGTCAAATTAAGTACCTTCGTTTTCGAGGTTGAGAAAGTCCTGCTGCGACACAAGTGCGGGTTGTGTTGAGAGATAGAATAGGGCTAGTACCGCACCGACGATTTTGTACTTAGTTGGGCACGCGGGCGCTGGGCGTGATAAGCTGTGTGCTGTGAGTGAAGTGTCCAGATGTGCCGTGCACGTGACAGCTGCAGAACAATCGCCTACGAAGAAAGGACAAGAAAATGGAAAAAAGAAAGAAGAAAATTCATTGTATGAATTTCTGGAACGTCGGGGGCATTGTCACGATTGTGAAGGAAAAAGAAGAATTAGGGAAGGGCGAGCGGCCTACAGGCAAGCCGAAGGGAAGGAAGAAGAGGATATATGAAGCAAAGGGTGTACTTGGAGAAGGACGTCCTTGGCTCTGCTCCGAGGCGAGGCCACCAGCCACTGGCTACGCTCCAGTGTAGCGAAGCAACCTCACCGACCTCCAAGACTCCTACCTAGCGACATCGCACCCCAGAGACGGCCACGAGAAGCAGCTGGCCCGGCTTCAGCATTTCAAGGTCGTGAGTGACGATCAACATTCAGGGGACTGGGTCACGGGGACCGATAGGGTTTGACTTTTGGGATTTACTTTATTGTACATAACAGTAGTGTTCTTTACGTTGTAAATATATGTTTTATTATTCTACTTGCTCGACCTCTGCCTCCACTGATTCCGTGTACCGTTCTGGTCGAACGCGACAGATGCCTACAACACCCTCAAGGCCCAGCTTATCCGACGGACAAGTGCCTCGGAGCATTAGCGCCTTCAACAGCTCTTGACAGCCGAAGAACTGGACGACCGGACCCCCACCCAGCTGCTGCGCCGACTGGAGCAGCTCCTTGGTGAAAAGGCGACCACCATTGACCAGTCCCTACTTCGTGAGTTGTTGCTGCAGCGAATGCCTTGCAATGTGAGGATGGTCCTCGCGTCCACAGGAGACATTGGTCTGGCTAAGATTGCTGAGCTTGCGGATAAAATCATCGAGGTCTCGGCACCGTCAACCAGCATCTCAGCAAACCGAAGTAGAAGCCTTCCGGATGAGATGAGCGAGCTGCGAGCAATGGTCCGCCGTGTCGCCGACATGATGGCGAAGCTGCAAGCTCCACGAGGCCGCAGCACGTCACGCGGACGTCCACGACGCAAGCCTCGTTCATCGTCCCGGACGAACTCAGGTGAATGTTGGTACCACCAGTGGTTCGGGCCTGCTGCTCGCAAGTGTGAGTCACCCTGCTCCTAAGCGGAAAACGTCAAGGCAGAGCATTAACGGTGGCAAGTGCTCCCGCCAACGCAGACAGCCGCCGAACTTTGTTCTTCGCGTCGGACCGCAGCACTGGTGTTCGGTTCTTGGTAGACATGGGAGCAGAAGTCAGCACCATCCTAGCAACCGCGGAAGAGCGCCGGCGCCCCAGCACGTCACAGATTTGCGCCTTCAAGAACACGGCCATTGCAGCGTACGGTGAGCGCTCCTTGACTCTTGACTTCGGACTGCGGTGCACCTTTCGCTGGGTTTTTGTCTGCGCGGATCTTCTCCACTCCATCATCGGGGCTGACTTTCTGACGCACTTTGGACTGCTTGTGGATGTCAAAGGCCGACGCCTCCGCGACGAAACACCTCGTCTGACGGTAAAAGGAATTGCCTCGTCTCTTGCTTCCATCAGTCCGACGTTCGCAGTTCCAACGGATGAGACGCCGTACACCAAGCTACTCGCAGAGTTCCCGGAGCTGACGCGTGTAGGACCCGATGAGCGTCCCCTCAAGCACACCGTGACGCACCACATCGAGACGACGGGTGCTCCGGTCTACGCGCGTCCACGCCGACTGCCACCAGACAAGCTACGGATCGCCCGACAAGGGTTCGAGCATATGCTCGAGCTGGGCATTGTCCGCCAGTCAGAGAGCTCTTGGTCCTCGCCCGTTTACATGGTTCCGAAGTCCACACCAGGGGACTGGCGCCCATGTGGAGACTACAGAGCCCTCAACCGGTACACAACCGAAAACCGGTACCCGATACCCCACATCCACGACTTTACAACATCGCTGGATGGCGCTACCATCTTTTCGAAGGTCGACTCAGTACGCGCCTACCATCAGATTCCCGTTGAGCCCTCGGAGATCTCCAAGACAGCAGTTACCACGCCCTTTGGGTTGTTCGAGTTTTTCCGGATGCCCTTTGGGTTGAAGAATGCAGCACAAACGTTCCAGTGTTTCATGGATCAGGTGGTGCGTGGGCTGCCGTTCTGCTACGTTTAAATCGACGACATACTCGTGGCAAGCACATCTGCCGAGGAACACGTCGCACACCTAAGACTGCTGTTCGCACGCCTTGTCGATTATGGACTCGTCGTCAATGTGAGCAAGTGTGCTTTAGGGAAGCTGGAGCTTGATTTCTTGGGACATACGATCAACTCTTCGGGAATCCGCCCACCTTCCATCAAGCTGCAGGCCATCCAGGAGTTCCCGAGGCCGTCCACCAAGAAGCAACTCCGGGAGTTTCTGGGGTTGGTAAACTTTTACCGCCGTTTTCTCCCGGGCTGCGCCACGAAGCTTGCACTTCTACACAGCATGCTTTCGGGCAAGACTAGCTCAGCAACCGAACTCGCATGGGATGCCTGCACCACATCGGCATTTGATCAAGTCCGACAGCTCCTTGCAACCAACACCATGCTTTCTCACCCAAAGGAAGGAGCCCCACTCTCAGTCGTCACCGACGCTTCAGGTATCGCTGTTGGTGCGGCGCTTCAGCAGAACGTGAACGGACATTGGCAGCAGCTTTCCTTCTTTTCGCGGAAGTTGACACTCACAGACCAGCGGTATACTACGTTCGGTGGAGAGCTCCTTGGGGTATATTTGGCACTACGGCACTTCCAGCACATAGTGGAAGGTCGGCAATTTTTTTTGTATGGACTGACCACAAGCCTCTCGTCCACGCGTTCCAGTCTTTGAGACCAAACGGAGGAAGTCATTCTCAGAGAGAACTCCGACAGATGTCCAGCGTCTCCGAGTTCACAAATGACA